AATGTTTCCATAATGGGAGTTGGATATTAAGAATCTATGTGTAGGTTAGAAACTTTTATGCAAAAAGGATGTTCAAAAGAATGTACTTTGAATTTGAGACTTCGCATCCATGGAATTGTTTCGTTATCAATCTCCATTGGAATGTTTTGTAATTGGCAAAGTCTTTGTGACTCTGGTGCCTTGATATTACAAAAGGATCATTGCATGATAGTTTAGAATCTAACACATTCTAATAGTGGCAAGAATTTGGTATTCTTACACTTGTGATAAGGATTTGGAATTGTAAAATGAGCATCATTGGGAATGTGTTCAATTGATCTATTTCACAAAGAAAAGACCATAAAAAACATAGTGTGCATGCTTGGAGCATGGGATAACTATTGTTTTAATTCGAGTATTAAGTTGATTAGTTAAAACATTATACAATGAATAATGTGTAATCAATATGGTGATTAAATAATAAGTATTTTATTTATATTCAAATAATCTAAGACCATATTGGATTAGATTATTCTTGTGTTTCACTTCGCATGTTTTACTTCCCGAATAAATATGATTATTCAAACATCCACAGTCAATCAGACTTTGGAAGTAAGTAATGAGGTAAGGCTGTCATGAATCCGACTGTAGATTGTCTAAGTGCTTAGACATAACACAAGTTTGCTGCAGTGTTCATGAGTACTCTTGTAATAAGATTTGAGTATTGGATTAAACCCACGCTCATCTGAATCACTTCATGGATTTCATAACGAGTGATTTTGAGACGATAATATCTTATATTCTTGAAACAGAGACATATAGTTGTTGTTTACGAGTCGGTTGCACATTGATAATATGAAAACGCATCAGTAACTTGATGTTATAAAACGTATTGTTGTGTGTGACTTGATGAGTAAATAGTACAAGCATATGAGTCGAAGTTTATCCGTTCCTTTTACCCTAAGGGGATAAAAGCGATATCCTGTGGGCCCCTCGATGATTTAGTGATGACATCCTAAGCGCTTGGCAGAGCCTGGACTATGTTGATGTGTTCAATTGTAGTCTGTTGTCAGTCATCATAAATCGGAAATCGGGTAACAACACATAGACAGAGAGAATGATTATAATCCATGTCTCATGTCTATACGATATCTTGTAGAATGAAGGAATATATGATCCCTTATCTAAAGGACGCGTTACTGATAAGATCAGAGTTCGACAGCGGATTTTGAGAGCTACGATTGCTAATCAGATTTTGAAGTCGTACCTGCAATTATAGTTATTGGACTTATCCAAGTGGGAGACTGTTGGATTAGGTGTCTAAGCACATAACTATAATTGGTATGTACTTGACCCGATAGTAGCATGGTCCTTTTGGGCTGCCTTCACCATAGCAATTTGATAGGATGAATTATGGAGAAAGAGATTAGTTATGATTTATTAATATATTATATGAATAATATATTAATTGAGAAATCATATTATTTAATTAGTATTGATCAGAAATTAATTTGGTGATCAAAAGAGACTGATTAAATTAACGGGGGCTGATTGTGTAAATCAGTAATAATTGTAGTTTGGGCTGATGGATCCTATTGGTATAGGATGGACGAAAATCTAAGGGGAGCCCATAGAATTTTCGTCCAAGGCATGTCATATGGGGATCCATATGTTGCTTAGAGCCTAAACAAGGGAATTAGGGCAAGTTGATAACCCTAGAAGCCTCAACTATAAAAGGAACCCATTGGCTCCCAAAATCGGATCGATGATCCCATAAGGAACTCTAGACGATTTTTTGAGCCTCTCCCCTCTCTCTCATAATTCTCCTTTGCTACTTGGTGTTTGTGACTCCTTAGAGGTGCAACAATTGGGGCACTAAGCTCTTGAAGGTCAAGATCAACTAGCTACAAGGAAAAGGTATTCATCTAACTTTGTTTTAGTAGTCTAATTTCGAAATTGTATGCTAGCTACTAGGGTTTATGCTTTAGATATTAAATTGCATGTATAAGTTGAGAAAAACCTAGATCCAAAGCATTAGGGTTGCATGTACACCATAGAAATGTTGTAGTGCTCAAAACCCATCAAGTATGACATCTACTTGGACTGGATATTAGAGAAGAAGATAGAGAATGGTAGGACATTTAGAAGGCCATAATATTGTAGTGCTTTATTTAAAAACCTTTTGGTATTTAAAAATGAAATGATTTTAAATGTTTTTCTGAAACTACACTAGCAATGGATGTTTCAATTAGTATTAAAACATTAGGTGCTTATTTTAGTATCTACACCTAAACTATAATGCTCTAGGAAGATTTGGAAATTAAGGTAGCTTGACCTTTATATAAGGGATATAATTTTAATGTGTTTATAATTTTATATGTCTATTTATTATTTGAGAATTGATAAAAATTCTTACAAGGCGATGGAAACAAGACTAACCATACCCTATCATAGAATATAATGTTGATGATGACAAAATAGAGGTTCAATCGAGACTAAATTACTTGATAATCTCACGTATGTACTAGAACGGATGATGAAGTGAAAAGAGGAGAATGCATTTGGAATTTCTCAATTGGATGTTAGACTTACATAAAGAGAAAGGCATGTAAAATGTTGAAATGATAAGAAAGAAAAGTAATTATGTGGTGCTTGCGAAGATCAAATGAAAGATTAAGTAGATGGTCGAACATACCCTTTTGAATTAGAATGAATGCAATAGGAAATAATGTTTTACATGAAGAAAATAAGTAAATTTTCTTTAGATTAAGACACATTATTTTGTGTATTAAATTAAAAAAAAAAATAATTACTACTAAGAATTAACATATGAAACCCTTGGAAGATGGTGACTAAAAGAGTAGTTGTGAAAATATTTCTTAAGTAAAGTATGTTGAATGACACCATTAAGGCTCAAAGGGAGGAGATAACCATCTCGGTAACAACAAGATGAAGTCATGGATGAAGAAGTAGTTAATTAAGTGAACATTTAAAGTATAATTTTGGCTAAAGCATACCCACACGTTTGTTTGGATAGAATGACTTGGTTAATTAAATGGACATTTAAGGTATTGTCTAAAACATTTTTATCCATGCTTCCATTGAACCAATAAGTAGATACCTTTTTTTGGACCATGTTATCTCCAACACCATCTTTGAATTTCATGCCGCTTATTCTTGGTTTGATGACAATTCAAATACCAAACAATTTACAACTTGCATTTTTGGCATTTATCTCATATTTCAACTATCGGCCAAATTATAGTTAATAATCGATTGGTGAGGCTATATTTAGGACTCCTTAGTTGTTAAGACCGAGTTTCGATCACTAACAAGGCAATTATTCTGGACCACATGATAACTCTCGGTTTAATAAAAACTTGGTCGATAAAAACTTGATTTTACAAACTACACATTTTATATCAAAATTATATGTGCAATTTGAAAATGATGTTACAATATATTATACTCATTGTAAGTTTGAATAGGTCTTCATTTAGAATCATAGAAACAACATAATTAAATATGCTAAAAACTAGAGAATGATGTTATTTATTTATTATTTATTTTTTTTAATATAGTTCGAAATTTTGAACTAATTTATTTAGAAAAGTAGGTGTAGTTTGAAATTTAGATTTTGTTAGAAAAAAATTATGGACTTGTTTTTTTTATAGAAAAGTTAAGTTTGAAAATCATAATGTCATTTGGAAATCTACATTTTAAAACTCCATGGTTTGTTTAATATTTTTATTAAAAAGATGGTCTTTTTGTGATATCTATATATGAAAAGTGGTCATTTTGGTGATTAATCTATCATTATTGTTAATATTTTCAAACATTCGACTCTTATTACCTTCCAATTGGTATTTTTACCTAGTAACGACTTAGGTGCTTTTTGTTTTTTAAAAAAACCTCTACAAACCACTTTTTGCTGCGCGACGCAGTACACACGCAACAGTTTCCCTCTTGTAACAGTTTGTTTTTTGGAAGGCTTCAGACTACAAAACCTCCGCGCGTGTGCTGCGTGGCGCAACACTTGACTTGCCTCTTCAAACCTTTTCAGCCTTCATTTTTTTCCAAGTGTTTTTTTTAGAATTTTGGTATAACTTATTTTTTTTTTTAACTTTTATTTTTTTAATAAAAACTTTGATATTTTTAAAGTTTTATTTACGGATTTGATACAATTTCTTTATATAGTTTCACAAATTTTTTTAACTTGATTAAAAAAAAACTTTGGTTTTTTTTAATTTTTTTACCTTTTCTGTTAATAATATTTTCAGTTTCAGTTGTATCTTTTTTAACGTGTGTAATTTTTTACGAATTTTGTAGAGATCGTTTGTAATACATTCTTAATTTTTTATTACTTTTTTTTAATGTTTTTTACAATTAGTTTTTTTTCTAAAATAAAACTGTTAGCTTCTTTTATATTTTTTTAAGTTTTTTTAAAAAGTTATATATTTTTGTTTTTTTACATGTTCTTTTTAGTATTCTTTCAATGTTTTAAGACTAAAATTATTAAAATTTCGGTGTTGAAAACTATTTTCAGTTTATAAAGTTAGTTTATTTAAATTTCAGTTTATTGCAGCAGTCTGCAAATGTTAAAAAATAAACACGCTTCTTATTATAGGCTGTAGCCGTTTGTTCCACCTCTTCTGCTACAGAGGATTGCAGAGGTGGTCCGCAAACTTAACGAATTTTCTATTCAAAAAAACAAACAGCACCTTAGACTCCGGTTGATACTAAATATCGTAGAAATACCAAAACTACCAAAATTTGTTACAATTACGTGTTAGGATCTCATTTTAGCATGACTTTCTCTAGAACGTGAGAATTCATAAATGAAGTATCATCTTCACATGTATATCACTTTCCTTGCAATACTAACATTGTGACATATCTCTCATACATTGACCGTGAGATTAGTTGATGCATTTACCTCTTACTTTTTCCCTTTTTGCATGATGAACTGTTAATGTATTTAAAAAAGTCACTCAAATTAGCAAAACTTACAAACTCAAGGGGTAGATTTGCAGAAGAAGGAAAGAAAGATCCCAGCACAGACGCAACGGGGAATTGAAAGTAAGGATCCCCGTAATAACGGTTTTGCTAAAACCCTAATCGGAAACAATATCAGATTCTCTAAACAGATTTCAGTTATCCAACAATCAACCCTACCTTCAGTCCATTCGGAAAGCCCTAGAAATCTTGTATGATGGAAAATGAAATGGAAGAAGATCGAAACGAAGGTCCTCCTCGGAAGCGACTGCTGACAGATCCAAACCCTAAAAAAAATTTCGTCACTGCATCGCCAGAATCGACTGTTTCCTCCGACTCATCCTCCGATCGGCTCGGGAAAAAGACTAGAGATTTGCCCAACTTATCCGATTGCCATAGTTGCGCTGTCCGGATCAACTACACGAACCCTAGGGAGAGACTTCAACCACTGGACAGCATGTGGCGCGTAGTCTTGTTGTGTAAAAAATGCACTAAGCGAGTGAAATCTTCCGAGCTCTGTCCGTACTGTTTTTCTGTTGTGGGTGATGATAAAGATTGCTTTAAATGCCTTGGTTGCCAGCATAGTATTCATAAAGACTGTGTAGCTAAGTATGGTTCGGGGCTAGGGTTTTCCGTTTGTGTTGATTGTTGGATTCCTGATGCGGTTGCTAGCTCGATTGGAGTGGGGAAGAGGAAGAGAAAGAAACACAACAAGCAGTCTTGTGAGCGGGTTGCTACTTTGCCTGAATCTAGGGTTTCTGTAGGTGAAGAAGTGGGAAAAAAGTTTGCTGCTGCAGAAAAAGCTAGTGATAATGCTTTAAAGAAATCTGTGATTGCAAAAAGCGCTGTTGAATTAGCTAAAGGTGTGTTAAATGTTGTTTCCAATACAAATGTTGCAGGGAGTAGTGAGTCAAATGTTGTAGATGACAAGAATTTGGCTTTTATGTTGCACAGAGAGATTAATTGCTCTCCTAGGATTTCTAGATATGCGTGTTTGATGAGTTCATTTACAGGGGATAATGCACAGATAAGATGCTATTCAAGAAGGAGAGCCAGCAAGAAGACTAGCTTGATGAATTCAGGGAATTTGGGTGTACCCTTAATTTTCTATTCCAGAAGGCGTGTAAAGAGTGGCTTGAAGAATTCAGTTACTTCAAATGCACCACTTATATTCTATTCTAGAAGGCGTTCCAGTAGTAAAGCTTGTTCACATGTTAGAGAATGTGAATCTTTTATAGTTGAGCTAAGTGAAGGAATTGATAAACATGTTTCTGTATCTTCTTCTATTGGATTGAAGGGTTCTACTTGTGGTTCCAATGCAGAGAATAGTTCAAGTGGCAATGAGTGTCAAGAAAATGACAGGGTAAGATTCGGTTTGGATCCACATCGATTTCTATTGAAATACCACAGAATGAGAAAATGCAATCCCAGAACTTCAGTTTTTGTTAAGGATTCCGATTGTGGGTCTTATATTGATTCTGCTGATTTGAATGCTGAGGACACGAGTGATACAAGGGATTTGAGAAATGGTGAAATTTGTGAAATAGGTGACAAGAATGCTAACCGCTTTTTGTTGAAATACAAGAGATCTAAAGCTCCTGCATGTCTTGCTCAATGAGAAATCTGAAATTTCAGGTATGTTTTCTGTAGTTAGTTGTTAATGATTGATGATGAATCCTGTATCATGCACGAATGATTTGGAGTTAAACCTCTCATTATTCAGATACCCTTTGTAACTTTTCAATGTACTTGACAACATTTTGTAAATATATGTAGTTACTTTTGGTTTCGTGAAAAGGAAGACGATATGCTCTTGATGTTTGCCTCATTTTGCATGATTCAATGTGCTTAAGTTACATGAATTGGCCTCCAATTACTATCTCTTTCATTTAGTCTCTCTCCTATAGTTTTAACACAAGAGACCTATAGTTTTAACTCAAGAGAAAATAGGTATAACTCAACAAATGCACAAATGCACAATCTGTCAGTTACCAAGTAAATGAAGGACAAACTGTTTTATTTAGAGCAGAGTTTAATTAGAAGTTTGAGAAAGATGATAAACATCTAGGCTTCACACCAAAGAAACACTAGGATCTCATTAGCTTGACACCAAAATAATATCCACACCTGGGATAATGCAAGACATATCAGCTAATAGTTTGATTAAAACCAATGATGCCCTTTGGTGCATCATTCATTGTAATACTAATGATGCCCTCCACAATCCTACCCCTTGCCTTATAAAATAATGAAAGTAACTACCCCATCTTCTCTTAGGGCACACTTGCTTTACAGAATGTCTATTAAGGAGTTTGAATCTTTAAGATAAATTGGAATTTGAATCTGTAATGCATTTGGTTGACATGTAATGGAATGGAATTCTTTGTTGGTTTCTGTTTGGTTTGTAAATTTATCAAAGGATTGGATTGTAAAGTATATAAAATGACAGAACTATCCTTTGTTGAATTATTTGTTATTCTTTCTCGTTTTATCAAAATGACTGAAATACTGAATTAATTACCATGTACCAGATCTTTTTATCTATGAAACTTTATTCTTAAATTCTTTTACTGACAAATAAATCAATTTTACTTGCATGTAAAAGAATTGAAAATCATGAGTTCATGTTTAATAGTTTTTAATGTATGTTTTGATATAAAATTTATTGTAATTTGATAATTTTTACACTATGTAATTTACAAAAAAGCAGAGATGTAAAAAACTTTACATTTACTCTCATAACACAGGTAAATGCAGTTTAAATGTTTTGGTAAAATAAAAAGTAAAAGGAAGTCAAAAATATCTATAATTTAATTTATTATAATGACAATGGTATAACGTAAAACTTGAAAAGCATATAACTTAAATTTTTATATAAATATAAGATAATAAGAAATTAAATGAAATTAGTGTAAATACATTTGCAGGGATGTGTTTTTTATAAAAAAGTTTCCAAGATTCATTTGGTCTTTATTTATTTATTTATTTATAGAAGTTGAGGAATGAAATTTAGATTCTTTGGTAAGGGTCAATGGATGATAAAATCAGTTAGTTATGGAATTTGATGGAAATCAATTCCATTGATCTTTCAACGAAGCACGTTGTTGATGAAATTCTTCATTCCAATTCATTCGGATTCCTTCAGGATCCATGAATTGAACCAAATAATCATGATAAGACTACACTTTGACTTTGCCAAAACTTTTATATCTTAATTTGGATTTATAGAAGCATGTGATGCAAGTACAATGTAAGTATTAAAAAGATCATATGTTCACTTTGATATGTAGGGCTATGCTATATACTTTATTGTTGTTTAACAATTTAAGGAAAAACAAATTTGGTATTTATTTATTTACTTTTTATATACTAATATTAAACTTAGAAGAAGTGTGGAGTGTACACTTCTAAATTAAAAATGGGCATATAATATATTACCTAAATCCATCATTCCTTGATGTGAGTGCTATCCTACAAAGCTTTCCACCTTCACAGTTGTCTTTTTTTTGTATTGTGTAATATAGTAAATTAGTTATTTAAGCACTTGATTTATAAATGTTTTGTTAAGATATATCATTTGACTTATTTCAGCTTTGTTGCTTTTGCTTAAACATCTAAAATGTGCACCTTTACAATTAAATCTGCATACATGGATGATGATTTTCACTCTCCTGTCATATATTTATATTATTTTTCCACTACTTGTGGATTCCACACTCCCTTCCAGTTTTCTATTCGGGGCTTTTGGTTCCACTCACCTTTCATATATTCTACTTATCTTTCCACCACTTGCGTTATGTTTTATTTATTTTAATTTGATTATATTGATAAAAATATAATATAGTGTTTGTAATAGTATAAGTATATTAATATATTAACCATCTTAAGTTTTACTTCTTATGATATGGGTTTGATTTTTTATAGGCTTTGATAAGTTAGAAAAATACATAGTACAAAAGTAAATTTATACAGTATAATAACTAGACACTTTAACAAAATATGAATCGATTTAGCATAGAAAGATCTTTCTTTCCTAGACATCATTTGGGTTATGTTTTACTCTAGCTTTGTTTGTTTTTATTAGTTATTTGGTACCTAGTTGGGTACTTATTGGGCATTTATAATAAAGAAATGGTAATGGAGTACAGGTAAAATGTTGCTATAATCGGTAAAAAAAAATTGTAAGTATTTTGTTATTACAGCTAAAAGTCCAAAGTATATTGCCATAACAGTTGAAAAAGCAAAACTTGTTGCTATTTATAGCATTTCGCCTCACTTAGAATTTAGAAATAACCTGTAGACATATATTTATTTCTTTCCTAGACATCATGATGTTAGCTTCTCTATTTTTTTTTTTGCTATATAATGCTTTAATATATGATGGTGCCTTTAAGCTTTAGTGGTTAGCACAAAAAAATCTAAAACAAGTAGTGGACCACTGCAATTAGTATTACACAGTATGCACTGTATTATTATGAACAATTTGCTCACCAACAGATTTTGTGATACGTTTTGAAGGTCCAGATATGGAGCTTCAAGTGGTGATTATCCCTTTAATAATCCGAATAACAACATGGCTCTAGGCATGCTGAGTTATTGTGCAATGATTCGTAAATAGAAATCCTAAAAACTCCTGTGATTGTTATGAAAGAAATGATAAGATTTGTGTAAAGTAGGGAAACATAAAAGATTATAATTGTCATAGTCCTAAATATAATGCTTCTGTAATTCTGTTTAGGGGGATGGTGTCATGGCATCATAAAAATCAATACAAAGTGAAAGTTTGAAATAGCAAAGAGGAATTAGCACATGGAACTTTTGAATTATATCCTAAAACTTTCAACTTGTGTATACATGCTCTCTAGGGGACTACTCATTTTATTAGGTTCATCAATATGCTTTTGTGTGGATCCCACTCTCTTTTTTATATATTTTACTTGTCTTCCACCACTTGGGGTTGCATTCCCTTTTTGTTTGTTTTATGAAGGGCTTTTGATATTTTCTCATTTAGACGCCCAGTGCATGGTGGTGTCAATCGTGTGGATTCCACAAGCCTTGAATTTTTTAACCATTAAGCTTCCCTTGTTTTGTATGTAGTTGTATCGGCTCTTTCTATTTTTGTATTATAAACATATACCAGAATCTCTGTTACAAATTTTATATTTATATTTAATTATGAGATGAGATATAGAGGCGGCTCAGATGATGAGAGCGAAGGGCATTTTGGGAAACAGGGAAAGTGAAAGCACTCTCGAATCCTTGTCTATTTTGGTATTGGTACCAAATAGTAAATTAGCTGTTTAAGAAGGACCAGGTTTATAAAATTAACATTTTATTAAGATCATGTCATTTGAAATATCTAATCGCATTCTTGCTTTTGCTCAAACATATATAGCCACTTATAAGACCATGTCACCAATGTCGAATACACTAAAAAAAAAGCTAGTGGAATATGGCACTAAGAAATTAGAATTAAACAGTACACATTGTATTATGAATAGTCTACTCATGGAAACACCTTCCTTAGAAATTTGATTACTTGCTCTTGATAAATTATAAAAAATAAAAAAGTGGAAATGAAGCTGATAAAATCAGTTCTTCATATTTGTGTAGCAGGATAGGTTGAAATGCATTACAATCCAATTAAGTACCATATACTTCAGATAACAATATTCTGTATGCAAACAAAACATATTGAAATCACACTAGACTATAATCAAGAAAAAAAGACATGCATGCATTGGTCAGTTTGTCACCATGGCTGCTGATACTATTTATTCAGTTTCAATTTTTTTGATTTCTTTATTTGAAAGTAAAGTATTTGTTTGGAAAGTAGCTCAATATATTAGACTTTAGAGGAGCCTTCTCCTTCTCCTTTTCCATTCAATATTTTATGCTGTGGGTGGTGTGGATTCCACACTCCTTCCATTTTTTAAACTCATCATTATGAACTCCACACACCATTCAGTTTTATATGTTTTGAGACACTGTTTCATTTTTATATTGAGTGGATTGTGGCAGTCGTATGGACTCCACAATCCTTGTTTTCTTATTGAGATTGATTACTCTTAACTTTAGTTGTGAGTGCTCACTCTTTCCTTTTCATTATATTTTAAAAGAAGGGTAAGTTCTCCCTATTATATTATTGTTCAAGTAGAACACTTCACAGCACAAAAACCTTATTCTGCTAGGAAAAGAATATTCCATGGCATAATGCAAAGGTAGCCTCATCTTGCAGGTCTAAACCTAATAGATATACAGTAAATCTTAAACATATGCCAGGCCAGGGTAACAAGCATGAATCCAATAGAGATAGGAATGTTTGGTACAAATGAAACAAATAGATATAAAAGAAACAAACTAATAATACTTATAAAAACAAATTAAGTTGGGGTATACATATGCTATAACACAAACTTAAACTGGACATCACGTCCTTAGTCAGAAACCAGCTGAATGGTAATAATTTGCATAGCACATTAAAATTAAATAAACACACATCCAGAGATGCAAAATCAGTAACTAGTAACTGGCATAGAAATAATGAGCCACTCAAGAAAATGGCGATAGTTCTACTGGCTTTTGGTTGGTAACTTTGATATCAATGTGCTCCCTATTCTGATTCAGGTAGTAATTTTCTTATCAATTCAAGTGGAAGAAGATATCTGTAATAGTTAATACTAATGTAGGAAAACAGAGAAACGATTGTGTTGTCCTACTCCTGTTTCTTTTATAATTCTCTCGATCAGGAGGATTGCACTCTTTTATTTAACTTGTAGTTGTAAATACTAAATAGTATTAGTGCTATTTTCTTTTTTTACTTATGAAGGCCTGTGTATGTTTTTCTCATTTAGATGTGAAGTGCATGGTGGCAACCGTGTGGATTCCACAAGCCTTGAATTTTTTAACCATCAAATCTTCCCTTGTTTTGTATGTAGTAGTATTGACTCTTTCTGATTGTGGATTTCCCACTGTCTATAACTTTATTAACCACCTACCCACTGATCATTATACACAAATACATATACTATATATAACAAACACATAGGAGGGATTCTATCTTTCACAAGCAACACTTCATCTATCATTCTTTGTGATATAATTTTTTCATTCTTTCTTTCACCATCATGGCTGGAAATATTGATCTATGCATTCGGGTTTCCAAGGACAAATCCGAACAAGAACATGGCCACATCTCATCTGTATACAAGACGAAGAATTTGACTACTCACAAAGAGGACAGTGGCTGTTCTGGGAGCCACTGATGGTTTAGTCTCTGTTGCATCTCTGATGATGGGTGTTGGAGCTGTGAAACAAGATGTGAGAGCCATGATTCTTACAGGCTTTGCTGGCTTAATTGCAGGTGCATGTAGTATGGCAATAGGCGAGTTTGTTTCAGTCTACTCCCAACGAGATATAGAGGTTGCTCAGATGAAAAGAGATAAGAAAATTTCAGGAAATGAGGAGGAAAGTGAGAAGGAAGCACTCCCGAATCCCATTCAGGCAGCTGCAGCATCAGCCTTAGCATTCATGTTGGGGGCCATCATGCCTTTACTTGCTGCTGCTTTTATAGTAGACCACAAGGTCAGATTGGGGGTGGTGGTAGCCACAGTGAGCTTGGGGCTTGGTGGATTGGGGCTGTTCTTGGGGGGAGTCCTGTGGGGAAGTCTTGTTTTAGGATTCTGGTTGGAGGGTGGATGGCTATGGCTATTACTTTTGGACTTACCAAGTGGATAGGCTCTACTGGCTTGTAGTTGCATCAGAATAATGTATTCTCTTTTTCATATTGTATGGTTTGAAACTTAAACTTTGTATGTATTAAGGTTGTTGGTTCCAAATTCCAATCCTACAAAGATGTTATTGTCAATCCATCAGGTGTTTTCATGTCATATTTAACACCATGCAATGGTTAATATAAAACAGGGGAGATAAAATTGGTAGAAATATGGGGATATAATAGGATATGGGAAGCTTTTGGATATTTTGACTAGGTGTCTTAACTTTCATTAAATTAGTCGCAGGATAGTCCAAAGAGATGGCAACTTCGAGTTTTAGGCACCAAACTTTAAAAATAATGCTAAGATTGGATTCGTGTAGGTGGTTTGTAAGATCTTAAGAACACCCAAAAACTGGTATTCCGTATGTATTTATACCAATATTTACTCTCAATGGATAAGGATAAAGAGATTTAAGGATTGGCAGGATAAATATCACTACTAGAAACATAGGTTTTAGAGACGGAAGAGTCCGTCGCTATTCCTTGCGACAGATCAGCGACAGATTTACTCTATAGCCAATTAGAGTGTGGCTAATGACTTAGCGAGGGGTCTAGCGACGGATCAGTTTTTTTTTTGCTACGGCTATAGCAACGGAATGTCCATCGCAAATTGGTCACTTAATATGGTTATTTAGGACACCAACGACAAAACGTAATACAATATTCCGTCGCAAATCCCTTGCAAAGCTCTATTTTTTTTCGTCGCTAATCCCTCACAAATTTAAGATGTGATTTTTTTTTTCATTTTGTAGTTAATCCCTCGCAAATTTAGGATGTGATTTTTTTTCTTTCCCTAGCTAATCACTCGCAAATATATAATATGATATTTTATTTTGGTTACTAATGTAAAACAAAAATGACAAAAACATCAAATAATTATAAAATCTCAAATCAAACATTAACATTTAAATACCAAACACATCCAAAAATTATACAATCCAAACATTAACATTAAAATACCAAAAGCATCTGTCAAAGTTTAACATTGATTAAGTTTTGATTTCAAAGTATAAGGTACCATAATTCTTAATTTCATCTCATATTTTGCTTTTCCACATACATCTTCTCCAATTCTTGATATCTTGCGTCCAAAAGATGGGTTGGAATGAAACTGGATTCCGATTCCAGTTTAGTCCCATGGAAATAGGACCACGTGCTACTTTGATGTCTTCCAACTTTTTTCTAGATAAGGGATCTTTGTTGGAAGCAAATGCAGGATAGGAATGAAATTGAATTCCGATCCTAACCAAAAAGTAAATGAGGAAGGAAATACGGTGTTTGCCAATTGGTCTTCAGATTTGATTTTTTGAACATTTGTGTTGAATATTACGGACCATCTACCACACCAAAATTAACAACACATTTAGCATTTTTATAAATAAAAAAAAAAGATGCAATATTTTGAATTAGGAAGGAAATTACAAAACTAACCTTCGTGGTCTCTAGACTTGCCATGTGCCCTTCTCTCATTGCATACAACCACCTTTATCAGCACAATTTTATACCACCAAGAACTCTAAAAGTTGATTCCTCACAAATAGGAAAAAAATACACACATTATATAAAGTTTATATCCATGAAAGATTATTTTATAAAACTAAAAAAAAAGTACCTACCATCGATTATTTCGAGGAGTTGGAAACAACTCATTTTTATTCAAATTATCTTTTCATTTCAAAAGTCAGCCGTTGACTTAAGTAGGAAGAAGTGGAAGTGGTTGTCTTGCATCAGAATCTACAGAATGACAGCCTGAAAAAAATTAAAAACAAGTGTTAAATATTTTATATAAGTACTCAAAATTATTTATTAAAAAAAAACAAGCATCTTCACCTCTTTGTTAGCACCTGCTGTCATATTAGTGAAATTCAAGTCTCTTGACCTGTCATAGATTATTCATAAGTTCTCAAAAATCAGTATATAATTTATTAAATACTTTATAGAATTAAATATAATTTTTAAATATTGTTTAACTTAAGAGTAGTACCTGTTGTTGCTTTTAACAGGTTCCAATTCCAACACTCTTTTTTCTTCATCCTTAACTTTTGAAAGAGGGAAAAAGAATTGGATATAGAAAAAGAAGCAAAAGTTGGTAGAATGTTTATGAAAGAAATGAAATCTATCAAAGGAATTGGAATCTCCAATTCCAACTCCATCGGAATCCACAAACCATTTACATGGTGCATTGAAATGAAAACAATAGAAATTCCTAGCATAGAATTTATAGTCAAAGTATGACCAAACAAAGGAGCAGATGCAAAGCCTTGTGAAGATTGTTGCAACAATTGATGAATATTTTTTTAAAATTGTATCTGCATGACACAAACAAATAATATTATAACTAAAAAATAAATAAGTTATATTTTGGGGTTTTGTACAAGAAATATAATTTACTTATTTTACCTGCATATTTGAAGAAAAATGAGGATAAAACTCCTTGTCCTGCCCTGCATTATTTATAATCAAAAGCATGGTAGCTTTTGAATGTCCATGCAAAATATCAAATCTTTCAGGCCTTAAAACATAAAAATATAGGACATAAATTAATTGTTTTGCATTCTTTTGTTGTTCAAAAATAGGACATAAATTTTGGTTAGTAGATTACATGTAAATAGAGTTATCGACTAGTCAACTCAACCATTTATTTTTACATGTAAATGAAGTTCTCTCAAATCTACATATGCATAGACCAATTCAGTATATGAAAAAATGAAAGTGTCTTACAACTGATTGTTTATGTTGTTTCTGTAGATGTAATAATCCATCATAACCTACATTTAACACAAGCTCTCATAAAGCCTTTTTGAATCACACTACCCTTCTGAAAATAGAAGTCACATCTGCAAGAATAAAAGAATTGACACTTTAAAGTGCTTAAAAAATTACAATTTAGAAAAAAAAAGTAAACTTCCAACTTACCATAATCAGTTGCAATACTATGTGATGCTGCAGTTTTGTTGAATTTCTCTATTATTTCCAGTATTTGGAGACTAATACCAGCACTAACCTAAAAAAAGTAGGCCTTTTTGAGGGATAATTTCTTTAATGTTTTAGAGAAACAAACAAGTGTTATTAGTAAATAATCTGACAAAAAGATTATTGTTGATAGTTGTGTTTCATTATACCTCCAACAATGACTAAACCATCTAACTTCAAGACCTTGCATGCAGCCATGGCAGAATTTACTTGACCTGTGGTTCTTATTTGGTCAATTGTTCGTCCCAATGGATCATAACCACCTTCAAAGGATTAAGATAGTCACAAATGAAATTACTTGAAGAAACTAGAAATCAATACACCAGTCAATGAAATCTACAATTTTTCTAAGTACCACATGTATTTCAGAATACATACAAGTTTTTGCCTCAAAACAGGATGTAGAGATTCTGTGCTTGTGTTGAAGCTCCAGTTCTAGAAGATTGTGCTTGAGCCAAAGCTTCTCTTAAAGAACACGGTTGGCCTGGGTGTTCACTCTTTTCCATAAATATCCATTTTCAGATGCACCTTGTGGCTGCATTTCATGTGATGAATTTAGAAATACAATAAACAGGTGTCATGATGACTGAATATGACAAGAAGGAAGAGATTATAACAAAATATACCCTAATTTCTTGACGAGATGCCTAAGATAGATACTGATTAGTGGTAGGTGAAAGTGGAGACAATTAAAATACATAAACTATTTGATACCTTTCCTTGAATGCATTTTCTCTCATTGCCCACTAAATGAATGCTTGAGTTCACAATTACACTTATAATTAGATCCTGAAACAAGGAACGAAATTTCTACTGGTCACATTAGGTATTATTCAAAATAGTGAGATACTCAAATGATAATTGCTCTCTATGGATTATTGGATGTTAACTCTAAATACCACACAACATGAACAAAGCTCTAACATAAAGATTCATATATAATACTCACATTCCAACAAAGTTGTATGAGCAAGAGCAAGCTACATCATAGCCTCTACTTTGTTGTGTTAATCCAAAAATATGGGACAATTTAAGTCCAGGGGTATTTTGGGAAAAACCTTCCTATTTTAAGTTTTTGTGTTAGATTAGGATTTGTTTCGAGTAGCCATATTAGACTAGGTTTCCTTTATGTTTAATATAAATAGGTTTAAGTAGATTGAAGTTTTTAAGTCATTTTACCTTTGAAAATAAAAGTATTCTTCTAATATATTTTTGTCTTCTGTTTCCCGTTCCTTCCTGTGTATCTGTGTGCATTGAGTTTAATTATCTCAGTTATTCCTAAGTGAATAAGTTATAATCAGTAGCTTATAGTTTTTATTAACTGTTACCTTTCTTCCCCATTTTCGTCCCCTGTTCTTGATATGTGGGTTCACCTCTGCATTAGTGCAGAAAGTAACATCACTTACAGATTTGCGACATCTCAAACTTAAACATCAGCAACACAAGATGGAATGGGACATCTCAAACTCAAACATCGAGGATCATCACTTATAGATTTGTGAATGTAAGCCACCACAATCAATACAAAAAATAATTACAACATGAAATCTTTAACCAATTATAGATATATGAAAATACAAACCTGTCCAGCATGTTTTACAAAAAAGCAAGAACACAAGCACAACAACGGTGCTAAAGTCAGTCACCTTAATAGCGCTCAATTTCAGGATTCTTTTAGAAAAAGAAGCATATTTTTGGCACTGTTTTGCGCCCTAATAACTTGATTTAATTCCTATATTGATACTAAAAATTTAGGGTTTACCTTCTTCAATGAAGGCAGAGAGAACCGAGTGGATGGAGATGACAATAGAGGGCGAGCTGGTGGAGAATGACAGCGAGAGCAGGGCAACGACGATGATGTGGCCAATTCCTGAGCGGTGGCAGCCAGCTCCACCGCTGGTGGATGCTAAATCGGTGATGGTGATGACGATAGAAGGCGGAGGGCGACATAGATACGACGAAGAGGAGCGGAAGGTGTGAAGATATG